ATGGGTGTGCAGGAATAGAAGTGGGGGAGTGTAGAGATGGATTCATTGCTTAAAACCACTTGTACAGGAAAATGATGTGTTTGTTGAGGAAATCGTAGGATGGTAGTATGGACTCTAACAAGTGGTATGATGGTAGTGGAAACTAAACTGCAATAAGCTTGAATGACTACTTTGAAAAGCAATGAGAGAAACATAAATATGGATTTGTGAAGTTAGATAAATAAATAGTTATAAAGAGTTATAATATATGTGGGCAGGAGTAGATAGATAGATAGATAGATAGATAGATAGATATGATCAGTTACCCTCTCCAAGTTCTCCACTGCCTTAACCTCAAGGACACATGGCACAGTGGATAAAGGCGTTGGTTAGATCCAGTGACAGGACTCACACAGTATGAGTTCAATACTGAGTTAAGGTAGTGGAGAACTTGGAGATCTGAAAATTGACATCCATTAAAAACATGGCATGTGGAACTAGAACAGTCTACCCCAGTGAGCGAAATAAAGGGTTCAGTTCGACATTCCATCCACCTGAAGAAGGCCGGAGCATACAATGGCTGAAAGATTGTAATGAATATGGTAACAAAGATGAGAACAATAGTCTGAATAATGTAAATAGTGTACATAATACCTCATCTCAGAAATATAGACAGATACTGAAGCCCATTGATATTAAAATTTTGAATTTATCTCTTATTCAAGTTAACATGGCATATTTTGGAAAGTAACCCTAATGATTGCAAGAAGCAAAATTCAACATTTAGTGAAACTTAGGTTTCAAAAGAAACCCAACCTGATAATCATGGGTACAAATATGTTTTCTAGAGTAGAAAATATATGGAATCTACCATGCTACAAAATGGGGGAGGGGGTCTGCTTATCACTTGGTTGTAAAACAGAAGTTATCCTGTATTTAAGATTTAGTAATAGTGAGTTTTCATAAGTAATTCAATCTGGCAACCATATCTACAATTATGTTTTTTAGAAAAGAAAAAATATATGATACTAGACTACCGATGACCGTTGGGTCACCGATGGATCAGGTTATAAAACATTGAAGTTGATTTCAACATTAAAATATCGTCTGTTTGAAAAAAGTTGAAATAAAAAATACTTACTGCATAAACAACATATATTTTTAAATTTTATTCGCTTAAAATATTTTTTTAAATCACATTAATTTAAAAATATATTTTTAATATGACAAAAATATTTTAAATCATATCTATTTGGAAATATTTTTTAAATATGGCAAAAAATATTTTTTAAATATTTAAAATATCGTTTGTTTAAAGAAAACTGAAATATAAATAAGCACGCACAAAATTTCAGAGGTGGAAAGGGAGAAAGAAGTGGAAAAAGAGAGAGGTAAAAAGAGAGAGGTAAAAAGAGAGAAACATGGAAAGAGAGAGAGGTGGAAAGAGAGAGGTGGAAAGAAGCTTAAATCCTTATACACACAATTTCCTTTTACCCACTTTTCTACACAATAATAAATTTACATCTTTTTCCCCCACTCACTATATATGACTTTATGTGCATGGTGGCAAACACACAAGCAAGCAAGCAAACAAAGTTCACAGATTTAGTATTATAAAGATTTACTTTGGCAAAAATTTGTGGATATGTTTATTACTCGGTTGTAAAACAAGTGATCCCCCATATAAAATTTAGTAGCACTGAACTTTTGAAAGTAGCCCAATCTGTCAATTATACCAGCAAATATGTTTTTTAGATTATAAAAAAATGTATAAAATCTACTATGATAAAAAGTGAGGGATCTGTTTATTATTTGGTTGCAAAGCAAAAGTGATCCTCCATATAAGTTTTAGTAGCATTGAACTTTTAAAAGTAACCCAACCTGTCAACCATGCTGAGAAATATGTTTCTAGAGTTGAGAAATATATATATTTAATCTACTCTGATAACAAAATAAGGGATATATTTATTACTTGGTTGTAAAATAAAAGTGCTCCCATGTTTAAGATCCACTTTTAACTACATTCAGAGTTGTCAAACTGGGTTACATTCAAAAGCTGATTGAATTGAATTTTTTAGCACAGCTTATTTTTTTTAAAGTAGCCCCAGAAGAAGTTACATGTAGTAAAATTCAAAATTTAGTATCCTAAAATGTCACAAGTAGACAGATTCAAAATTTAGTAAGACTGGATTTTCAAATGTCATTGAGAAAGTTGCTAGTATCAAAATTGAAGGCTTAGTAATGCTGCGTCTTGAAAATATGCTTGTCGTGTTTATACATTACTCTGTTTTTGATAAATAGCAAATCAAATAACTTATATCCAACATATATAAAAATTTATTAAATGCATATAATGCCTTTTTTTCTTTTGCTTATAAATTAGGTCAGATTTAGAAATCCTGGAAAAGCAATTCTTCTGCTTGAGTTTTCTGGAAAAATTCCTAAATCTGCAACATTTGAAGATGGGTTTCCTACCTGACAAGCTATTTTATCCTCATCTCCCGCAATACAACCAAACTTTGAAGTACTGAGAGGAGTTTGCAGATAAAAGTGAAAATGAAAATTGACAGCGTTTTTCTGCACCATTAAAAAAAAATAAATCATTGAAAGCAAAAAAAAATCCTAAATGAATAAAAGAAAAAAAAACAAATCTCAGAATCTCTGCCGATTCTCAGAAGATAGCCAGTAGCACCATCTTTCTTTTCGTTTGACAGATTCAAATTCAATTGTCCACTTTGAATGGCCATTAGCTACGTTCAAAGACATGGCCTCTACCTCACCATTCTCCATTCTGCTAACTAATCCTATCCAACCAGCACCATCTTCTGAGCCCTCCTTGACAAAAATTTGGATTCCTAAACGACATTTCCCCAGAGAATTGCACTCTGGAGCTTGTGGCAAAATTCAATTTGACTCTATTGGCACAGAAATGGCTGTTTTATTCTGAAAACATTTGTACACTGATGCCCCAGTTGGCACAGCACCATAATTGTTGATCCATGGATATTTGGTCAGAAACTCAGTGGAAAGTTGAGAAAATATAGATTCAGCTTAGGAATTTGGAACACATGAATATTATTTTTTTTTTGCTGTTGGATTTATTGTAATATCGGGAACAAAGAGAGAATGCCTAGAAACCTTTGTAATAAATACATTGGTGGCTACTTATCTATAGATAAATGGAAATATATGCATATGGGGCTGCTTGGTGGCATAATTGGGTGGATTTTTTCCACTGTTGCCAGTAGGCAATTCTTGAACTCAGATAAAAGCCAGGATCTAATGTCGATAGTCAAGGCATTAATATGTGTATTTATAAGCATTCAGATTTGGAAGATCATCATAATAGAGCTCCTAATATTTAGGGAAATGTTTAATCAACACAGTATTGCATAAAAGGAAGATCCATATTTAGTAAATCTATCTATCTATCTATCTATCTATCTATCTATCTATCTATCTATCTATCTATCCCAGTCTGTTCATATCTATCTCAGCCTGTATCTATCTATCTATCTATCTATCTATCTATCTATCTATCTATCTATCTATCTATCTATTGTGTTTCTATCCAGAGTTTAAATATTTTATTACCTATACATTTATATATATATATATATATATATATATATATATATATATATACATACAATATATATATATATATATATATATATATATATATATATATATATATATATATATGCATAATTGTGTATTTGGGCATCAATCTCTCTTTTATACAAGTTTCATTAGAAACAACTGGCAAACAAAACAACAGCAAAACCTTGACAGTCGTTTTTAATGAAACTTGTATATATATATATATATATGTGTGTGTGTGTGTTGCTTATATATATATATATATATATATATATATATATATATATATATATATGTATATGTGTATATATATGTATGTATATATATATATATATAATGAATATAGTGAATAAACTGGTATAATTTTGTATGTTTTAGATGTTTGGTCTATTTTGTGCCAAAAGTAAACTTCTGAACGTGATTTCAATGATGGCTACTTTTGCCTTGAACAATGATGAAGAAAATGGAAGATGTAAAGATAGACCTGAAGCAATTTCTGCATTCATATGAGAGATTCACTTATTTTTCATGCGAATGTACCAATGTCAGAATGCAGAGGTCTTTGTTGCTCCATCAACTTTGCCCTTAATGTACGCAAAATACATTCAAATATCAGTGTGCATTCATGAACATATGTGCTTGAGAATAAAGTTCTTAGGCAAAGTTCAGAGAATTTTCTTCCTTCTCTAAGTGCATTGTAAAAAATTGCATCAATCCTTTTGACAGAAAACTAACAAATACTACACATTGATCCTAGCCAAGGCATTTGTGGCTTATGGAATATTTAGAGAAGAAATCTTTCTATTGCTATCTTTGAATTTTCTGATGGATAATTGACAAATATTTTCTCTGTAAACATTGTTTTTTTTAGTTATAACATTTAAGTCTTTTTTTTACACACTAAAACTGTGAAATAAAGAGGATACAATAAAGAATAAGTAATAATTCAATTAATAATCCCAATTTGCTCTCTTAAAGGTCATAGGGTGTAAAATAATGAGTGTTGCAAGAAAGTAACAAAGGAAATAGGATGAAAGAAATCCTAATAAAAAATTAAGTTATAAATGAATGATAATAGACAATGCTTCATCTAGAAAATTCAGACAACTTAAAACTTAGTACCAGGTGTAAAAACAAGAGAAATAAGATGAAAGAAATAATAGTAAAACAGTTATTAATAGTGCTTCATCTAGAAAAATCAGATAACTATTATTACTATATGTAAAGAAAGATAAATAAGACAAAAATTGCCAATCAAAAATGAACAATTATCGACAGTGCTTCTTCTAAGAAATTTGGTTAACATACAACTATTATTAAGGTGTAAAAGCAAGAGAAATAAGATGAATTTTTTATGTTAAAATGAATAATATTAGACAATGCTTCATCTAGAGAATTCAGACAAGACTATTCCTATCAGGTGTAAAAGCAAAAAAAATAATATAAAAGAAATATCAATCAAAAATAAATAATAATTGACAGGCTTCATGTAAGAAATTCAAACAATTTAAGATTTGTAGTAGTGGTTTGTTAGTGCTATCATAAATTAGCATAAGTGTATGAGTAGAAGTTATATATAGGCTCACTATGTAAGGTAGTGGCAATGGTACTTAGATTGTAAAACTAATACTGACAGTATACAACTGCAATCCCTTCTTGGACTATCATAACAAGATGTTTGCTACTTGCTTTAAGACCAAGAAAAATATGATGAAAGAAATCCAAATGAAAAATTAATAATAATTTACAAAACTTTGTTTAAAAAATTCAAACAATTTAATCACCATTTTTCACAGAGGGTGATTTTTTTATCTGTTGCATTTTTTTTTGCTTTCTTTTGTTTTTACAATAATGTCCACAAAGTGTTCAGTTCGACATTCCAACCACCTGAAGAAGGCTGGAGCTTACAACGGCCAAAACCTTGTGATAAATATGGCGACAAAGATGAGGACAATAGTCCAAATAATGTAAATAAGGTTTATCGCTTGTTTGCTGTTTAGGATGAGGTTTCTGGTTCCTTCTAATGTCTTTTCATTCTATTTCACTCTTGCATCTTAGTGGCATTATCACCTTGCTTGAGGTGAATTGATTAAAAGGAAAATCTGAAATCTGAGGTAAAGGAAGATTAAATTTTAGAAAGTTATTGAGCGTATTACATTATCTGAGGGAGCAGTAATGGGCTTCCTGGGATTTTCTTAAAGTATACATTAGTATTGTTCTTAATTATTCCTAATGCTTTATTTGTTTCTTCTTCTTCTTCTGATTATTATTATTATTATTATTTCACCATTTTTCTGATTTGATACAATCCTTTCTAAAATCTTTTACCTGAGACCTGGGGTAAAAGAAAGTATTTTTCTTAGACATTTATTGAGCATATTACATTGAGAACATATTTCTGATTATGCACATGAGCACCATCTTTTCTATCTCAGATAGCGATTGGCTTTCCTGTGATTTTCTTAATGTGTATATCAGTATTCTTTTTAATCATTCTTAATGCTTGTATTCTTCTTCTTCTGATTATTATTATTATTATTATTATTATTATTATTATTATTATTTCCTTTGATTTCTATTGTAAATTTCCTTCTGGGTTCCAACCAGAGACCTAAGGTCAGAAATAGTTTCCTGACATTTTCCACTGCTCTTTTTTTGTAAGATAAAACAAACCCCCAAAAATCTAACATCATGCACAATTTACACAGATAAAGCTCTTTGTAATGTGTGAGCTGTACATGTGAGTACAATTTTTTTTATATTTCTTTAAGGCATGGGCTACCAGGGAACCCTTAAATGAGTCTATCAGAACCTTTTCCAATAAATCCGAGGGCTTCACCTACAACTTGTATTATTGATTTCCTCATGTGCCACATTTTTGAGATTTTCACTTCAAGGTCCTTGTATTTTGATAGTTTATTGAAGATCTTCAAAGATACATCACAATCTGCGGGGTCTATTATTATTATTTCTTATTTTATGTCCCGTCTCCATTCAGGACATAGGCGATCGTGGCTCTCCACATCTTCCTGTCACTTGTAGCTCTTAATAAATTTTGTCTTTTTATGTCATTTCTCCCAAACCCTGTTCAGCCATCCATTTGCTTAACCCCATCAAGTATGTTACACTCTGCTTTCGTCTGTTTGTCTTTCCCTCAATCTATCCTGTGAGTATCAGATTTTCCAAGCCCTTCTTCCTTGCCCTAGAAATTTCAATTGCCTCTTTCTGATGTTAGGTATAAGTTTCCATTTGTTTCCATTCTCTTCAAAACTTTGTTGTTGCTAACATCTTTGGTCCATAGTATCCTCAGCATCCTTCTGTAGAACCATATTTCTGTTGCTTCAATCCTCTCTTCTTTATCTTTGAAGAGATTGTTCAGCATTCACAGCCATCCAGGAGGACAGATATCATGTAATAGTTCAGTACTCTTTTCTTTGTTTCTTTTCTTTTTGTTTCCATTCTCTCTAAAACCTCGTTGTTGCAAACATGTTTGGCCCATGGTATCCTCAGCATCCTTCTGTAGAAATTATTATTACTAGTTCTCCTCTCCTATTATTATTGGGATTTAAGTGTCACATTTTCGTAATTTATTATTATTATTATTATTTCGTAGAAAAGAAGAAATAGAGAATTTACTATCAACCCTCAGTTTAAGTAAGCAAAGAACAGAGATTTTCCTAGAGTAGTTGATAGTGATGATGGCTTAAAACTTGCCATTTCTGTAGGAAAAGAAAAACTATCTTCCTATAGTAGTTAGTAGTGATGATGGTGTTAAACTAGCTTTTATTTTTTGTTGTTAGAAGTTTGCTATGTGTCCAGCTGGAAAAGAGTCTGGTTAAATGGATGTGAATTCAAGCCATTAATGCAGTTTTGTGATCAAAGTAAAGCTTTGATCAAGGCTTTTGCAGATAAACACAAGAATATATGAACCCTAACTGGGAAATTGTAGGAGAAATAAAATCTGTGATGATGTTGACAACACATCTCTTTTGTCAAGATATACTAAAATATTTGAACCAGCTGAAAATGTCCTTAAATAATATTTGATACAGTATGAGTAGTATAAAATATCATTTACAATATAAATGTTTAATCTATACTATGACCAGATATAATATTGAAAATGTCCTTAAATAATATTTGATACAGTATGAGTAGTATAAAATATATATCATTTACAATATAAATGTTTAATCTATACTATGACCAGATATAATATTGAAAATGTCCTTAAATAATATTTGATACAGTATGAGTAGTATAAAATATATATCATTTACAATATAAATGTTTAATCCATACTATGACCAGATATAATATTGAAAATGTCCTTAAATAATATTTGATACAGTATGAGTAGTATAAAATATATATCATTTACAATATAAATGTTTAATCCATACTATGACCTGATTTAATATTGAAAATGTCCTCAAATAATTTTTGATACATACTACAATTAGTAGTATAAAGTGTATATAATTTACAATATCAAGTTTTAACATAAAATTTTTTATAATTTAATATTTGTATTAATTCTTGATTACTGATAAATCCTTTCTTCTTTATTTTCCACAAATTATAGGCTGAATTATTATGGAAACGAGAATATGAAAAAAAATAACCTTAACTTCAATAGTCCAAACATCTTTTGGAATAATTTTTCTTTCTTTATGTGTTGTGTCCCTTCAGGATATGGACGATCATGGCCCTCCACAATTTCCTATCTTTTGTACCTCTTAGCAACATTTGTCCATTTACTATCTCTCCAAGTCTCTGTTCTGACATCAATTTACATAAGCTTTTTAGTTAGGTAACAAACAGTTTTCCTCTTACATTCAATATATCCTGTGATTGTCAAATACTCCAAGCCTTCTTTCCTCATAGTGGGTCTCAGATCTTTCAGCTCTTTCAGATTATGTACAAGTATCTTTTTTATTTCCCTTCCCACTAACATTTCCTTGTTGCTTATG